GGTCTGCCACCAGGCTCCTCTCCAGCGCCAGGAAGGGCAAGCATCCAATGGAATCCCTCATCTCTTCCGCGCGTGAAGAGTGCGGCGACGATAGAGTTGACGTTGAAGACCACCTCAGAGATGAGCGCTGCATCACGTTAAGCCGACATCTACATAGTCGGCACGACGAACACCGAGTGTGTGCGCACCTTGAGAACGCATTGCAGACAACAGATGTTCTGAAGAGACTGACTGCGGCTCCGTTTATGCGGATGTGCCTTATGTACAAAGCATCCGCAATCATATCGTTGGCCTTGTTTGTCAGAAGAATTCTATGGGCAACAAGTATTGGTGCACACGCATAAAGGAATTATGGTTTTGATTAGCAGGGTCATCTCGGCCGTGGGCTACCGGAATCTCTAACTCTCAGGGCGTTTATCGGATTGAAATGAGGCGTGAAATAAAGTACATTTTCTCACTATAGCACGGGTTTGTCAAAGGGCTTGCCGATAAATGGCTGAAGTTATGGGCGGTATCGTGCGTACCTCCTACCGCCTTGTCATGCCTCACAGTTAAGGTCACATTGTGTCGATTGTAACCTGAATATCGGCATAGTGCAGCCCAAATATTAACACGAGGAACTCGTTACAATCATAACTTTTGTCACCATATCGTCATATATGTTGAGGTGTTTGAAGGTTAGCGATTCTAAATGGTACTGCGTAGTACTGCTGCTTTCGCAACCAACCGTACGGATTATGTGTGCAGGCGATCGCTCTTGTCTGCGATTGCGTCTCGAATTCGAGATTGCAGTAGGACCTACCATCGACAAGAAAACGCAAACAGGCTTGGCACGATATTATGTGCATTAGTGTGCCTTGATTCTGCCCCATATCTTGTTGGAAAACCTAAGATGCACTTTATTATTTTCCCAACAGCAGGCTACGCCTTGGGGTACTAGATCTCGATCCGCTTGGTCTTCTCAGGCTCCAAGGTCCGGTTTTCGCATCGAGGACGACAGATCGCACATCATATGAATCCTTCCTGGGAACGCAACATGATCCTGTGGTGGCTCGGAAGTGACTCACAGTGAGAAACAGATACATGCGTCGTCCACTCTTGAAGAACTGGATGGCCCATAGTTAGTCTAGTCATTGGTATCAATTATACTTGGAGTTGAATTGGAAGCAAGCTCTGTGAGAAGGGCTGCGAAGACTCGCCGAACCTTACACTACGCTGTCCAGGTAGATGCCCAGGGTCGAAGGTCCCCGAAGGAAGGATCACCATTATACGAACAATAGCGCCGCAGCGAGGTGAGATGCTCGACTAGCAGGCGCATCTCAAGCACCCTGTACGCCGACAAGTGCCAGTGCGTGGGCCTCCGCTGCTTCCTCATGATGACATTTAGAGCGCCGCCTCAAAAGACCGACCTCACGCGTTGTCAGACTGGCAAGCGGCCTCTTACGGCCAGGCGTTCCCGGAGCGAGCACCAGCCCACAGACCCTCTCCCATTCTCCCCGTCCGGCGTCAGGCTTCGTTGCTGCAAAATTCCTCGTGTCCTAAACAATGACCGTCTCGAAGTAGGTTACTATCGGCTCAATGCAACAGACATCGTTCATCACGAATGCACAGTTTTGTATGGTCTTTACTGCAACATCCCTTTCTACAACGCCTGCGCGGGAGAGTATACACCACTATATGGAGGCTTTCGCGGCGATTAGGTCGAGGCGAACATGCTGCGCGTGTGATGCCCCTGCCATTTGGCATGTATCTCAAGAGAGCCTACCCACAAGAGGTCCTAGCCACTCAGTACGTTCGCGAGCACACGACAATCCCTGTTCCCAGAATTATCGACGTCGCCCCTTTCTGGCGCGCTCAGGTCTACATACTGATGACGCGAGTACCTGGCGAGGAGCTAGGCAAGAGCGCAGGCCACATAAGGAACCTCTCGCCTCGTCAGCTACAGGTTCTCGAGGACACGCTTCGCGACTGGTTCGGCCAGCTCAGAGCTCTCGAGCCTCCAGATCCTGATGCGGTTTGCGGGTTTGGTGGCAATGGGATTAAAAGCTATCGCATCAGACATGACGAGTATGTTGGGCCCTTCGCCTTGCAAAAAGAATTTCATGAGGAGCTGGTGAGCGGTTACGAGGCGACGCACAGCGTGATGGCTGCCGCAAGCCACTCGAGACCACACCGGATTTGTTTTACTCATGGCGACATCACCCCGCACAATATACTGCTCAACGAGGACATGCGACCCGTTGGGCTGATCGACTGGGAATGCGCAGGCTGGCTTCCAGAATATTGGGAGTATACGTACGCTCTCTACATCAGATATCCGCGCTACAAGGAATGGTCAGATCTGTTTACTCGAATATTCCCGCAATATGGTGTCGAGCTTGAGGTCGAGTACGAGTTGTGGGAAATTGCGGCGCCATGGTAACTGTGGCAATCATGCGGTGTGTGGCTTTCAAATCAATAACAAATCCGTACTCATAATCCGTTTAGGAGCTCCGACGTCTCATTCAGCGCAGCCATATTTCAGCATCTAAGTGCAGCGATGTTTGTTGATGTCCCTGCGATCTAGTATATTCAACGAGGTTTCAGAGAGCGCGAGGTGTGGCATGATACTTCGTTCGAGGTCCCACACGTCGCGTATCCATGTGTCCATCGTGGTACGTTTCGTCAGTTAAATGTACAGTTAGTTCCCAATGAGCCTGCTTCCAGTTCATCCACATCCACCATCTATGCATACCTATCCTTTTGTGATATCTGTCATCCCTTCGGTACACCATGCCGCGTTCTGCTTTTGGAATTTCCTGGATACTGACTTGCGCGCATACTCTCCCTGTCGCTTATTCGTACGTATGATCATTATTCGCGTTTTATCCTTTCCTTCACGGAGAGGCCAATTTCCTCCTAGGCGACCGCTAATGTCCCATCAAAGGTGGCATAACCAGCGTTACTACTCGCTTCTGTCTCTGCAAGTATTCATCCGATTATGGTATGCCCAGATTTCTCACCAACAGACTCAAATCGATGGGTCTAGGCGATACCTTGCCCTTCCACAGTTCAAGCGACGCACGCCTCAACTTCGATTCCCTGCACAAAAAGTCCGATCTGGCCGGTAGCATTCTCGGATTTGCCTTTGAATCCGGCTAGAGCTTCACGGGTGACGACCACGCGTACTCAAATGCGGAATCCTTCCGTCAGCAGGACATGAAAATATACGCGGCAGAAGCTATTGTATGTATTTTTCTCCACAGCAGCGCTGAATCCGTCATCACCCTTCTATTCCTCAGGAACAGATCTCAGGAAAGGGGTTGCAGTGTGCTCATGCGGAGGGATCACGGCGTGGTTTGCCGGCCTTGTCCTCAGATATGTACTCATAACAGGCTACTAGGCTTGGCCGTTCGTCTTCTACATCCGCCGATCTTCTTTTTGACGCCGGAAACGTCTGGGTGGGGCTATCCAGTCATCCGGCGCAGATTCAAATTGAGTGCATGAGATCATGGCTTCTAGAGAGCCCGCTCTATGTGGACATTACGGCAGCCAACGGAGATTATCCGCTGATTATATCATTGTACTTGACCTGTCGGACCATCGCTCTAATCATTCCGCAAGCAGAAGATGCTGATGCACGTCTATCGCAGCCTTACTTCTGGCAACTATTTCTCTTCCTTGCGCAGCCTTGTTTCTAGCACTTGATGCCCCTTCACGCATGTATATTCTCAGGTTCTGACACCAAATGCGTCTTTTGGATCCAGGTGATTCTCGAATTAGGACAAATCTCTTGCATTAGAACATGATTGACAGAGGGCGGGGGTTCATCCACTGGTAAACCATAGTACGATTGTGGGCCCTCTCGGCAATCACCACGTGCTTCAAGCCGACGCACCGCCGACATTTGCCTTTCTCGTAGGAACCTTTATACCAAATACCAGCGACTTGTGGATGATCTGCGCTGCAGTCATCAAGTGACCGCTTTCTGCCGCTGACCCATTCTCATCGCACGACAGAGTCACTGCCATCTTGTTCGCCTGTCCGAGATCGTTTTCGAGGTGAAGTTCGTACCTCAATTCGATATCTTGAATGATGAAGTAGGTCTTGACGGATTCAGTGTTGAATCCCTATTATTGACTCGTTTCCTCAACCTCAGCTGCGTGAGGACCCTAATGCAACCCCCTCTTGTGCAACGTCTGCGTTCAAGGATATGCAATCGTATGGGGCTTCTTGCTCCGACGAGGCCATGGGCACCCTATGGCGCACGTCATGCCTCTGCCATTCGGCCTATATCTCAAGAGGGCTGACCCCCAAGAGGCCCCCGTCACACAGTACGTTCGCCAGCACACGACAATCCCTGTTCCTAGAATCCTCGACGTCGTCCCCTTCGGGAGTAGCAAGGTCTACATATTGATGACCAGAGTACCTGGGGAGGAGCTGAGTATGCGCGCGGGCCATGTCAAAAATCTCTCGCCTCGTCAGCTTCAGGTTCTCGAGGACACCCTTCGCGACTGGTTCGAGCCGCTCAGAGCGCTTGAACCTCCGAATCCGGACGCGGTGTGTGGATTTGGCGGTAATGGGATCAAAAGCCATCGTATCAGGCATGACAATTACGTGGGACCCTTCGCGTCGCAGAATGAGTTCCACGAGAAGCTCGTGAAGGGCTACGAGGCCACACACAGCGCATTAGCTGCCCCAAGCCATTCAAAAGCACGTCGTATCTGCTTCACACATGGGAATATAAATCCATCGAACATACTGCTCGATGAGGATATGCGGCCCGTTGCGCTGATCGATTGGGAATGTGCGGGATGGATGCCCAAATACTGGGACTACACGTTGGCTCTCTACATCAGATATCCGCACTACAAAGAGTGGTGCGACTTATTTACTCGAATATTCCCGCAATATGAGGTTGAGGTTGAAGTCGAAGACAAATTGTGGGACATCGCGGCCCCATGGTGATCATTGTGCACTCGCGGTATGGAACCTTGGTCCTACTAAGTTGGTTTGTCGCTCAGCTCCTCTTAGGTGTCGTTCAGTATACCAACGAGATCACCAGTCATTAGTTGTATGCTGTATATCAACCTTACATCTGCTCCGGTTCAATGTGTTTGCCTAACCACACACCAAGGGTCTTCTTTTAAAAGTTTGACACGTCGTCCGCGGCAAGCCGCATCGATTCGGACGCGGTACGTTCACAGCTACTTTGCAGATCTGTCATTAGATATACAGTGAAACGGCTCGTCGTGCGTCACTGAACCTTGCTCTTCAATGCCTATTCGCGCCGCTAGGTCGCCACGACTATTAGATTCTGAATATGCAAGGGCCAATCTACGAAGTTGAGCCAACAACGATCTCCGCATCCACAAGGTCCCGGTTCCGACGCTTCATGCCGACCGAATGCTTCCTGTATTCTACTAATACAGAGACTTACGCACCATTCTAGACGCCGCCATTCGCGAATACGTCTTCTCGAAAGGCAAGCGCACATCGCTGTTGGTACGGAAGCTGTAGGCCCAGAGCATCTTCATGCGCTTCAATCTGTTCTCGAAAATCTATCTTGGGATGTAAGCATCGCACTACATTTCGAAATGATTAGTAAAGGCAAATAGAAGATGCCAACGAGGCGGTCCTACCGCGACAAGTCTTCTCGGCAGGTCTTGTTGAGGGATGCGTCCTCTGCGAGATTTAGCGAGAACCCCTTCCTCTGGCCAGAGCCGACACTGCAACCTGCAATGTTTCTGTGCGCGCTATCACTTCGTTTTTCAAGGGCGACGGCTCCCATGAAGACGTGCTCGCAGCATCCCCCGAGGCCAAGGAGCCGCCAGCGCAGCCGCCCAGGGGTCGACTGACCCCAGTCAGTATTCCATCATGGTTCGTCCTTGGGCTCTGGCCCATCCTGTCCCTCTGGTTGATCGCGTTGAATCGGCGACATTCTGACCAATAATGTGCTAGACGTCTGTTGACTCCTGGTCAATAGCTAGGAGAGTCTGCCGGGAAATAGATATGACACAGCACCTGCGCTCGAGGCCGTCGAGTATCATTCAACCCTACAAGCCATCAAGGATTTCGATTAAGAATTCAATCACTTGAGGATGAAGTGCGTGACGCACTGCACTCACCACGACGGAACACGAGCCCAAGTCAATAGTGCAATACCATTTGACGTGAGCACTCATGAGGACAATCGCTTCTTGTGCGGTCAGATGGAACGCAGTTGACGGTAGACTGGCTGTCAGCTCGCTGATGAACTTGATGGGGCGGAGACCACGACGCTTGCCTTCTATGCAGTGTAGTACTCTTCTGGATAGATACAGGGCACTCTCATCGGTGTCGGAGTTTGTATCGGCAGACGCCTTGACAGCGCGGTCCTTATTCGCCTTCGTCACGCCTGCAGGCAGCAGCTGCCATCTTGGCAGCAGTTCAGAAAGTACTTACGGAAGAGTTGGCCGCCTGCGATAGGTTTGCCCTCGTTGTTCTTGATACCTTTGTCCTGAATGTCTGGGTGACGTTGGCCAGTTGTGAAAGCGCACAGCGCTCACGGCGTCTGATCCGCCGATTCACGCTGAGAAAGAAGCGCCGCTTTGGAAGCGCTCCTATGTGGCTGGACTTGGATCGGCCCCGAGCCACCAGATTTGAGTAAAGCAACCCTTAAATACGTAATTGCCCACACGCGAATTGGCATATGGCACAAACTTAAGATTAGCTCAAGAATCCTTCGGTGGCTTAAGGATCCCTCATTAGTGCAGTCGTCGCTAAAAGTTCTTGATGCGCAGCAAACGTGGGCGTTGTCGCAGTTAAAGCTACTACCAACAGTCATATCGAATGTATATCGTAAAAAGTCAGGAGTATTGTGCCGCAAGGTCTGTGGACCATACTTTGTTGTGGGGCTGGACAGTCCGACATCGCTAGGCAAAATGGGCACTCAGCAGCCAATTGTTTCAACTATTTATACATAGTACACTGGGACACTGAAGATGAAGCTGGAAGTGTAAACGAAGGAGAATCAGATGGGGGGAGGAGGAAAACGTTTCCCGAACCAATTACAATTCGTCGAAACATTGTACGTGCGTGCGTCTCTGCGACCCTCAACCTTGGCGGTCGCGAGTCTCATGAGCTCAGCCTCTAAATCATTGATGCGGTCGCACCATACCATGCGGTGCTCTATGAGAACGCGTACGGCCTTTCTAAACCATACTCGACAGTCAAACCGAATCCCCATGGCTAGCTCAAAATCAGGGGTCACCATGACAATCGCCTCGAGGAGGTCGCGGACCTCTTTAGTGGTAAAGGTTTGGGTATCAGACGTCCGACGAGAACCTAAACGTCATCTCAGGTCTATCAGAGATCCTGGCAGCGCGGTGGTAAAGAGTACTGACCGATCTTAATAACCGTGCACAAAGAACGAGAGTGCAGGAGGTTCTGATCGGTGTCATCAAAATACCACCCGTTTCGGTCATTCTCCATGACATGCAAGCGCATGGCATGCTCCCTACCGCGAGTACCGGCGCCAGGGAGTGCTAGCATCCAGTGGAAGGTCCTGCCGTCAGGACGAAGAAATAGACAGGCCACTATGGCGAGGTCGTCAAGAACTGGTTCGGCCATGGAAGCTGTATAAAGCAAGGCCGTCAGTCAAGCTGTCGAAGTGCTTCGAAGTGCTGAACGCTGAGTTCATTTGCACCTTAGTGATTGTCGATAGGTGCGCACAGCGGGTGCGAGGAGGTTGGCTGTGATTTCGCTGCGGGCGATAGTCCTGTTTTATATGAAGACGCGTTCGATCACGCCGTTGGTCCTGTTTATCAAAGAGCTTCCAGCACGCGTGCGTACCTACCTACACAAGCCATGCTCCTCATGGCCAGTGGTTTCTCAATCGTGAGCGGCCAAAAAATCTGACATTACAGCGTCTATCGGATTGAAACGAGCGGCGAAATCAAACACAATTTCTCACCAGAAGATCTTCGCAGCAGCATTCTTGGTGCCAAATGCCCGGATTTGTGCGTAGTGCTAAACATACGACTGGCGGCCGAGATGTACGCCATCGTGGGGGATCTTGTTCCTCAGGTAGGGTTCAGTTCCGATTCCCCTATCGTTGTAGAGGAACATCAGTCAGTAGAAGCATGCCGTTCATCCTAGAGGCCTATCCCAGTGATGGAACCGAGCGCAGTACCAGAGCTGCAGTCATTCCACTGCCAGCTATATTCCAGCATAGCACTCATTCAAATATCACTGATAAGCAAGCGGGATGCGCATTTAACTTAATTAACTTCCATCCAGACTGGGGATGAAATTCATGGTCTTGTATGCTACGATATTAGAGCAATCGACCGCAAAGCATGGCCCGATAGGTACAATGGCTCAAATTGAGTCCACCGCAGATGTCTGCGCGACCAAGTCCGCTTACAGCTTCGGTTATCATGCTACTGCAGCTCATGACGCTCACCTGCTTCTGAGCTAGCGACACGCCGCCCTTATACAAGAGTCCTGATCTAGTGGCGAACATCTTCAGCCCGGTCCGAAAGACATCATTGAATTGTGAAGCCTTTCAGCGATCGTGCGGATTTGGGATAAGGGTGACTCGCGGTGAGACATCGATGTACGAAGCTACGCGTGGTCTACGGCCAACGGCCTTGCGAATCCAACCGCGCCCGTGGGCGCTTCCGGCAATCGCCGTGTGCTTCAAGCCGATCTTACAGCAGCCTTTGCTCCAAATACTAACGATTTGAGTGGACGGTTCCCGCTGCGGTCATCAAGTGACCTCTCGCTGCGGCTGACCCATTCTGGTCGTTGAAACTGGGAAAACCACTGGTCTGCGTAAACTTCTGTCCGAGACCGCCTTGAAATTTGACTTCATACCTAAGTTCGACGCCTCGAACGATGAGGTGAGTCTTGACGGAGTCATTATAACATTCCCATCTTTTAATTCTCTCTCTACCTCAGTTATATCTCGTCTCTACTGCAAATTCCACTTCTACAACGCCTGCGTTGTAGGATATATTCATTCATATGGGACTACTTGCGCTGGCGAGGTCACGTACACCCGGCTGCGCGCGCCATGCCCCTGCCATTCGGCCTCTATCTGAAGCATACTACAGTACAAGAAGCCCTAGCCACCGAATATGTACGCCTGCACACGACGATCCCTGTCCCTAGAATCCTTGACGTCGTCCCTTACTACGACCGGTCCCTCGTACTGATGACGAAGGTACCTGGCGAGGAGCTAGAGACGCGCGCAGGCCACATCAGTGACCTCTCGCCTCGTCAGCTCCAAGTTCTCCAGGACACGCTACGCGGCTGGTTCGACCAGCTTAGAGCTCTCGAGCCCCCGGACCCGCACGCGGTGTGCGGCTTCGGCGGTAATGGCGTCAGCAGCTTCCGCATCACCAATAATGGCTGCGTGGGGCCCTTCGCCTCAGAGAAGGAATTTAACAAGAGGCTGCTGAAGTATAACGAGGCGACTCACACCGAGATCGCCGCCCCCAGTCACTCGAAGTCGCACAAAATTTGTTTCACGCACGGCGATATCACGCCCACGAACATACTGCTCGATGAAGACATGCGACCGGTCGCCCTCATCGATTGGGAGTGTGCAGGGTGGATGCCCGACTACTGGGAGTACACGACGGCTCTCTTTATGAGGTATCCTCGGTATAAGGAATGGTGTGACTTGTTTACTGGCATCTTTCCTGACTATCGCGTTGAGCTTGAGGTGGAACATGAGATATGGATGGTTACTGACCCGTGGCGTGGTTGATGCATTCTAGTGGTAAGTGTTTTCATTCATTCAATTATGGATCGGTGTTGACAATTCATTCAGAGCGGGGGAAGCTCTGGACATGTCGATTCATCTCCTGCTCGAACTGCTTTATAATGTCATGCATGTCGTGCTCACGCCTCTCGGCCAGGCCACCCAATTCACGCCATAGGATACCCAGCATTGTGAGCATGGAGCCTGCGTCACCTTCACCAGCATCAGCCGCAAGCGATGTCGCATCTGCTGGATAGAAGTATAGGACTTTAGAGCAATCTTGCGGTGTGTGCCTCGTTGTCTTTTCAGGAGCTCAAACATCTCGGTCAACGTGGTCGTGTAAGTCGTGCCTAAGCTTGGTATGTGTCGATATTCCCTGCGAACTAGGACACTCGACAAATGTTAGACACTTTGGTCGGGGCCGCGCCCATTGCGTGTCCGTCGCCGTGCATTCCACTGTCGAATGTACATTCAGTGAGCCCGCTTCCACTTAACCCTCATCCGTCGTCTGTACACACCCAACATTTACGATAGGTATCGTGCTTCCACTATACCATTGTGATTTCTGCTTATCTGGCGTCCTGGTATCTTGTTTGCGCTCGTACGTTGTCTCTCACCACAGCCGCGGAGAACCCTCATAATATACGCATCATCGCAATTTGCAATGTATGTTATGCGTTGTGAGCAAGCCAATCGCCTCCTGGGCGATCACATATGTTCGTCTTCAGACGACACAAGTGGCGTAACTATTCACGCTCTTATCTGTCAGAATATCTTGCACTCGGCCATCTCATTGCGCAGCTGTGTCCAGATTTGTCGTCCCTCCCTGATATTGAGCTAGCGACTTCGCTGAATGTCCGCAGCCCCTTTTGCAGCTAGAGCCAAAGACTCCAGGACCTCGGCCACGCACGCAAGAGATTCGAGTTCGCCGAAATTAATCTCGGGTTCGCCTTCAGGTTCACCCGAGGTCCGATGGGCGACGAGCACACGTCGTCATCTATCCACCAGTAGGACATGATGATACACTTGGAAGAAGCTGCTACACGTGTATTTTGCTACAGCAACTCGACTCCGCCATCATCCTTCTATTCCTCAAAAAGGAATCTCAAGGGAGGGGCTGCAGCGTGCCCATGCGAAGGCATCCACGGCATAGTCTGCCGATCCAATCTTCAGAGTATGCGCTCATAACAAGATACTAGGCTTGGCTGTGTGTCTTCTGCACCGGCTGACTTTCTTCTGGCCGGATCTGCGATTGACAAATCCAGGCGAGGCTGTTCATACAGGACGGCGCCGACATGGCTTCTAAAAGACCCACATTGGTGTGGACATCACGGAAGCCAGCAGGGATTACATACTGATTTTATCGCTCTCGATCCTTTGGCTGTATCTCTTGCTCGAGTAGTGATGAATGTGGCTAGAACAATAGTGGCTGCATCTCGGTGAAATTATTCGGCGGCGGAAGCCACTCACCAAATTGTCCGATATGGTCTGCGTGTGCCGCCGTGCGCGAAGATCATCAGAGAGGCTGTCGTCAGCACGCTCGGAAGAGCACCGATGGTCGCAAATGAATCAAGTGATTACCACACAGCCTAATTGAGCATTGAGGCACTTCAGGAGTCTACAGCGCCATATTATTTCAGAAGTACACTAAAGATAGGATCGTGTGTCCAACTCCGCATAGACCAACAGACCTTTCGTGGACCGGATCACTGTATATCCCAAATGGCAAAGCATTCAGCAGACCTCCGCTAGAAGAAGACACTCGTCACGCCTCTCAAAACCACTTCTATCAACCACGGTTTAGTGCAATGGAACAGACACCGCAGGAGCGCAGACACAAGCGAGAACCACACTTTTAAATTTCGTGAAGCGGAGTTGCTGCAAGTATTCCGCACGGATAAGTCGGTGATGCTGTGAAAGAAAGCTAATGGCTTACATGAGATCCATATCGCGAGAATTTAGTGGACTGTGATGTTCAGCCTCCAATTTATTGCACACCAAATGGTGTGTAATCCATAGGCTACGCCACAATTGCGAGCGCTACGCAGTATCGCGATTTGATCGCTTGCTTCGGATCAATGGCTCTGGACGGAGGTCTCCGGAAGTCGCACTCGATAAGATCCAGCACACAGGACACATGAGGCGACGATTGAAGTACTGCACCCTGAGGCAAGCTGTTCCCAGGACTCAGACTAAATTAGGTACATTCAAAATTGCCGCTTAAATCTCGCTGGAAACAAGCGGCGTTTAAGGGTCCAAAAGCAGCGAGCAGAATCTGAGCTCCCCTCCCTCCTCGAACAGCGACAAATAAGCGACTGCTCGGCGCAAGCGCTCGCAGATTCTGGCTTACAGCCATGTCACGCTTACATGATTCACCATCCTGATTGGCTGGTCAGCCCTTCGCAAGCCGAGAACGTGATCAGATCACGGCTGCATCACGCTTAGTCATCTGTGACACTTCCAGCGACGTTTCAGCGACCTTCAGCCACATTTGGGCGCTCAAAAGCAGCGAAAAGTCGCTTGTTTTCCAGCGAAATATAAGCGGCAATTTTGAACGTACCTATTTATTGCCTCAATCGATTACACTTTTCACTCTCGCTAGCAGGCAGCAGTTTAGCTCTTTGAACATCTGTTGACTCGTCTGCTTGCCGACGCGCTCGCATATAGTATAAGGAAAATGATAATGACTCCGTGCGAACACATAACAGATCAATGCAAAGCTTTGAGATCCTGCGTCACTTTACAGCCTGATGACGAGAATCCCTAGCGAATGATTGGGTAAGCCCGTTGCGCCCAGGGTATTGGTTGTATACAGGAATAACGAGAGATACCAGATGACTGGGTGAATGAGATTGGAGATCATCGGAGCAATTGACGTTGTGCGGAACTCGTTGACACACTTACGCGCAAGCGTGTAAGAGTCCTCACCGGAGAGATGATCACGTTGTGCAGGAACAGTAACGATGATACGACAGAGTAGCCTGACGCTTGGGCATTGTAAATATTCCAGAATGTACCCGGCCTTCGACCTCGTTCCCCACAAATCCGATCGTTCTGCCATCTGTTGCAATGTTTTCTTCAGATTAACCGATGTTGTGGACCTCGGGCGCATATACACAAATCCGTCTAACCTCCGTTAGGAGCGCATACGAAAGTTTGAGAAAAGCTTCTGTCCGCATTTTACTCTCCATCACCGCCGACCACGTCATCGTTCTCCCATCTCCTTGAGGGATCATCGGCCCTCGCGGAACATGGCTACATTTCCACACGTAAGCCATCATCGCGTGGCCCGTCCTTAGGGTATGTGACAGGTTACCGGGCTAGTATATGCATTTGACTTCATCGGCCTGGAACAGATCCGTTTCTGACTGCTCTTTTCCAGACAAACTTGGGTAAGGCGTGTGTGACTGTTCACACACGAGTTTTCACTCGGTGAATCATGATGCTCGTTCAAGACCTTGCACCGGCAGAGATGTTATTAAGGCTACTGACGGCATAGTACGCGATATTCTCAACGTCGTGGGTTCAGTTCAAGATACTGTTTTCGTGCTTCAAGTAAGGACTCATACTTCTAAAACAATTGTAGAAGAGAACACTGTACCGCGAAGGCTGCGGGCTGTGTCTCGCCCTAAGGGTACGTGATACTCCATCGCTACAAGACCAAATGCGTAGATACATGGTGCACCAGAAGATAAGTACGGCTTTCGGCCTCGTGAACGTGAACTAGAGGACGCAGCAGAACGTACAAGCTTTGTAGGCTCAAAAGCAGCTTGCAGCAATATGTATAGTATATTTTCCGGTCCCTGCTAGGACACCCTCTGCACTAGGGCTCGACAACGATATGAGCTCAGCTTCCAATGCATCAACATCCAGACAATGAAGAATGTTATTCTCAACGAGGCGACGTATGGCTTCCCTAAACCAAACACGACAGGTGAACCTCTCCTCCCGACGGCGGTCGACTTCAGGGACCACATTCATACCGATCCCTTCGACGATTCTGCGGATTTGCGCGGGGGTAGTCATTCCCCGTGAACCTAGGCGCATTCTCAGCTCTGCCGGAAAGTCCTCAAGACCAGAGACGTGAGTCCTTACCGATCCTTATGACCGTGCACAGTGTTTCAGACTGTGGGAGGTTGTGGTCACCAGCCTGGAACTGCCATCTGCCCCTAGGATTATTGACGTGAAGCTTCAGGTCTGCACCAGGCTCCTCTCCAGCGCCAGGAAGGGC